GATGAGCTGTGTTACACCACCAGCAGGAAGCCAGTCGACGACGACGCAGGAAGGACCACGTTTGTTTTCCCCTCACACTTCAGGCGGGTATGTATCGAGTGATCATACTGGTACATCAGTTGTAGTGCTCAGAGATAGTGGAGCAGCCCAGTCCCTGATCGTGAAGAGCTCGTTACCCGAGGGAGTAAGTGTGGATGGGAGACCAGAGGTTGTCCTGGTTGGGTTTCCTAGGACGCAGTACATCGCCCCCTTAGTGCCAGTGCATCTTGACTCGCCATATTTCAGCGGCACATGTGAGTTGGCAGTAGTCGATACCCTCCCTGTGGCTGGGATTGACGTGGTACTAGCCAACGACTTGGTGACCGATTGGAGCACCAATCATCCCAAGATAGCGGACGAGTCAGCCAGAACAGCAAGGTCTGAGGTAACGACGGGCCATGGTAATGTCCAGGTAGAGACAGACCCGGATTTGAACATGTCTAATTTGTCCTCTCACCCGCAGATCGACAGTATTCTAACAGTGTCTCCTAATTCTCTCGACAAGGAACATGAGGTTACGATGGCAGAAGTACCCGAACAAGAAGAGAGGCCTTGTGTGCAAGCACCCATGGATACCGAAGAGTCTGGAGTGAAGGCACCTGTGTACTTGCAGCCTGGCAAAGTACAATGTATGCTGAACCGGCCAGAGATTCCCCAGACGTCGGAGGTATGTGAGGTATGTGCAAAGGTTCTAGTGCCCTCTTTGGTCCAAACCAGGCTAATGGATATAGCCGGTTATGGACATGAAAGGCTCGGGAAGCATATCCCTCAATTGGCCCCATGTTTCTTAGCGATATTTTGTTTGATGCTCCTATGTGTTCCCAGTGTTCTCAGTAAGGATCAGTGGACGACCCGAAGAATGATGGCTCCCTTGAACATCGCGAAGAGGTCCCAGGGATTGGAGATTGGTACTGCAAGTGTTGCAGTTGAAGAAGGGACCTGGAAGGTAATGGTAGATACAGGAGGTACGAGAAATGATAATATGAGTGACTGTTTCCGACAGGTTGACACCCCCCGCGTGATAGCTGAGCCTCAATGCAGCGTTATACGGAACGTTGGTCGACCTGACGGTGGCAGAGCGAATGCAATCTGCGACGTACGAACAGCCCCGTTGGGACTAGGTGTGGACCTAGTAGAGCACGCTGTAAGTACTGTTTTACCCGCTGTCGCTATCACTCTGAATTATCAGACCCCTGTATTCCAGGTTCCTGTCTCCCTGAAGGACCGTCGGACCGGTACCAGAAATGCCGTCTGTGATCAGCCGTCATCGGTGCCACGACGCAGAGAAGTGTCGAGTCACCCCAGATCGTGTCGAAACCAATCCTTGCTCGAGAGATGTGAGATGATGCCCCTGTTTGCCATCGCAAAGGAGGTGTGGAAGATTACGTCAGGCAGGTCATGCCTGCCATTTTCAAGGTCCCTTTGTGCCAGGGATTTTCTTTAGTACAGTTCTGTAGACGAGACAGCCTCGCCATCCCAGATTATAAAGCATGTGTGTCCATTTGGAGTTGTGTCATCGTACTAATTTGGTTTGTGTTTCTTTTTATAGAACCCCAAACCAAATTCTTTTTGGTAGGGAGGTGTTACGAACCCTGATCCAGTGTCCGAGCACGGAGCCGTAATGACTACGCCATCTGTGGGTCAGCTCCCGAAACCCCCGCCAAACGAACGACGACACCGTATGAGGACAGCGAATATCGGCCACAAGGGCCAGTTTCCAGTCCTGTGCAGCTCACAACACAGCCGCCACTGACCTCTGGTGAGGTGGTGCTCCGACGACAGCGCCATCTATGGACTGGATACGTCAGGTGTTTGTGCCCGAGCCCGTAAGTGAGGTGTTTTAGTGTGTCCCAGTCATTGATGACGTGTCTGTTTACAGAGTCGACCTGGGACTGCTGTGTTGAAGGTTGAGTCAGTCTACCCGAGGCAGCCAGTCTCCATACCTTGAACTTTGCTGCAGCTGTTGTGACGTCGTCCCCCCGGAAGAACACTGTGGTGTGTTAGCCTGCCAGTGGAGTGGCAGTAAAAGGATTTACCCGGGACCGACGGTTGGAGACGATCATACTGGGGTACTAAAGACAGGAGAGTGATTTGTGGTGTCACACGAGGCTCCTGTCTAGGGCGTTCCCCTTTTATCGTTCGTGGAGTAGCCGTACCAGCCTTGTTGGCTCAGAACCTGCCAGCAGACCAGCTGGACGTGTGGTTGATGGCCTCCACGGCGGTGCCCCCAGTGGACCCGTGTTTTGGCTGACCTGTGGCCAGGGTAAGCTCAACTTCTTTGGAGAATTCGTTGTGCGGCCACGAAGAAAGCACCAAGGACTCGGCACCGAGAGTTATGGCACCAGCGTCTTCAGCAGAAGACATCAATTGTGAATAATCCCCTTGTATAGTGTTAATACCCCTCCCCCTGTGTAACCTTTTATATATTATTTATTGGTGACGGACATTATATTATATTAAGTTTTTGCCTTTATTTCCCTTCCCCTTTAAGTTACTTGCGTCACGGATCACATCCCTTGAAAGCCACTGCTGGCTTGGGGTCGGATATAACTTCCTCTAACAACATCAGAGTAAGAACCCCCGTTGCGTCCCGAGAGGGCCGTAACACCCCCGTCCTCTCGTCCTCCCCACTATATCCCCCTCCCCCATCTCTTTTTCTTCCACATCATCCCCCACTCCACCATCCCCTCGTCCTCCTAACCATTCCCCTCTCCACTGTCTCTTTGTCCTCCCCACCATCTCCCACTCCCCCGTCCCCTCGTTTTCCAAACAATTCCCTCCTCCCCTTTCTTCTTTATCAAAATAAAGTCTTTGTGAACCTTATAAGGCTAAGTCGAAGACCTGGTTACCAACCTCGCAAGTCTCAAAGAAAAGGAAGACGAATAATAAGAAGAAAGAGTTTAGCCAGTATGACAATGTTACAAAGTCTCAGTGGATGAATTTTCTCTAAAGGAAGTAATAATAGACCCTCACCTCCGTGATCAGCTCTACCACGGAGCCCTACTGGAGAAGGAACAAGCGCGTTGGAGGAGACCCCGGATGTAAAGGGGTCTTTTCGAGCACCGTTATACAGTGAAGGGTGTGACGGAGTCCCTCCAACTACCCATATTGGTACACTATATTATATACCAGAGTGAGCTTAGAGAAAACATATCTCCCCGTTAGCTCGGTCCGGCCATAATGACTCTGTCATCTTACCATCGTTCGTCACACTCACCTCCCCTGCCGGTCTTACTCAGGACTCATTAATGTTACTCATGACTCGCCACATGTAACGGGATTATTCTGGTGGCCAAGTAATACATACAAATCGACATATCTAGGGGAGACAGGTGATATAACGGACACAATGACAGAGGCAAACAAGACACAAGTGAACCAGACAGGTGAGTAACGAACAGAATAACAGACTGACGGAAGGACAATTGACAGATGATTGTGGTTACCTCTCCTTGCGATGATTTCGGGGCTCAACGTCCGAGCGGCCCGGTCCTCGACCAGGCCTCCGACACATGGTGTCACCTGAGCGACTGTATGTGTTGTCCGTCCTTATACAGGGGAGTGCTAACCTTCTCTCCTACAGCACACTGGTGGTGGTGACACAATGGTTGTCAGACAATATGGAAATATGGGGATCGAGGCATACACAAAGATGCAGGCTCAGAGTTAGAGAGAGAGAGAGAGAGAGAGAGGGAGAGTGGGTGAGTAGAAGAGGAGGAGGACAGAGAGACAAGGGGACCAGTTATTGCACCAGCCACAAGTCACTCTCACTGCAACATTACTCTCAACTGGTTTATAGACACTGTCAGGGCCCAAGGCCACAGTTCACAGATTGGTGGATATAACTCTGCGTAGTTGTAGCCAGATTTAATCAACAGGGGACGTGTTTATGTCAAGAAATATGTATTGGTACATGGTCGCTGGTCAGGACCTCGGCTCCGCGCTCCCCACCACCTCCGTCAAGGCTCTCTGGAGTTCTCAGCGTGATGTGTGTCTCATCTTCACCTGGAGGCACGGTTCTTCCTCACTGGTTCTCCACCACGATCTCCCTCTCGAGGATTCGGGTTCTATTATATGCAGGATAACAATCCATCTATCTATTCATACATCTATCCCTCCATATATCTTTCTGTCCATCCATCAATCTATCCATCAGTCTGAACATCTGCCCATCAGTCTGTACATTTACCCATCAGGCTCTACATTTCTCCACTGATATGTCTCTCTATTCATCCATCTATCTATAGATCTATCCATCCATCTATCCGTCCAATCATCTATCTACTCACCCGAATATCTATCTAGTTTTTCTTCTATCCATCCATCTATCATTCCATCTATCCGTCCAATCATCCATCTACTCATCTGAATATCTATCTAGTTTTTCTTCTATCCATCTATCTACTCATGTTCTCATCCATCAACTCATCTTTTCATCCACCTACTCATCTTTTCATCCTATCTATCCATCCACCTTTCCATCTATCAATCCACCTATCCATCCAACTATCCATCTGTCAGTCCATCCATCTACCCATCCAACTATCTACTCTCTGTCTGTCTCTTCAATCCATCCTTATGTTTAGACAGTACCTATTTTTGACAGTCATCAATAGTCATCAATTCGTACGTACTTAGCATTTAGATAGTAGTATACTGGCTAGTAAGAATTTTTTTTAAATAAATAAAACTAAAAACAAACTTTAATATTCCAAGACCTATTATAGCACACATATGTACTATATTAGGCCTGAGATATCGTGTATTCTAGGAAGGTCAGTCCATCCATCCAGTAATGGTTAGGTTAGTTTTACAAAGCTACACAAGTAAAAATTTGTTTTCCGGTTTGTCCAAGTCATTAGTTTAGATTTCTACTTTCTAATTTCGTTGTTCGTCGGTATATATTCTATAGTCCTCATCGTTTCTTAAACTACGACCAAAACAGGAGGATGGGCTGGTCTCTTTCTGTGTGTCTGTCTCCACCTCTGCCTCCCTCTGTGTCTCGAGCTCTATTTCTCTCTGTCAGTCTGTCTCTGTGTATCTCTCTCTCTCTCTCTCTCTCTCTCTCTCTCTCTCTCTCTCTCTCTCTCTCTCTCTCTCTCTCTCTCTCTCTCTCTCTCTCTCTCTCTCTCTCTCTCTCTCTCTCTCTCTCTCTCCCTTATACAAAATATAATTGTCCACTATTGGTGTTTGTGGTCGTCAGTAAGAGAAGCTTAGCGGTGTTAAGTGCTTAATAATAGAGTTCCCATTTACTCTGAGATAATGGTGTGGCTTTAGAAACCTTTCAAGCTGTGGAGGATCGTCTCCTTCATGCGACTACATGTGAATTATGGAAAGAAGGAAATGTGTACATTTCCCATAAGTGAATAAACGCGTATATTACTATAAGACAAAATTGTTTTCAAACGTTGTTTTCAAAATATTTAACTGTGTAGCCAGCGAGCAGTGCCACATAGCGTCATGGGAGTCTAAATGCGACCTTGACACGCTGTTTCCTTTTGAATTCTGGCGGCCCCGACCAGCCTATGTTCATCACGGACCCTAGACCATTCCCTCTGTTAACTTGGGTGAGGCCAGCCACAAGCGTCTGGCCTTCAACATTGGACAGAGAGATAAACAGACATTCTCTCTTATGCCTATAAGAAAGAATGTCGTCTGTACACACATAGACAGAGACAGAAATAGAGAAGGGAGGTGTTGACATGTTTAGATGCTCCATACGTTCCCATTTATTATCCTTAATTCTCATATTTTTTCTTGGATTTGTTATTGGTGATATTATACCAGGTCGACCAAGGCACCTTGACCTGGGTGCCGGATCGACCCTCTCACTGGGTGACACTGCAGCTGGTCTGTCCCAGCTGGATTACTTCCGAGCTTCAGATGAGGCTGAGTAAATTTTCCCATTTCAGTGACACAATTCACATGTATGAGAGATCACAAGCCACAATTGTAACACATTACCTTGCACAAACACTCAGCGATTATATCAACAAGGACTCCTCCCATGTAAAGTTCAAACTTAGACTGACAGGAGGCAATAAAAATCTTTGACAGGTCCCTTACTTTGACCAAATGTCTACTAGACTGTTGCAAGTCACTGGAAGCCGAAGCTATTTATCTAATGACCGAACAGCTCCAAGTAGTCACAGACCAGAAGTTCGTTTTTAATTGTCCTGGAATGCTGGGACTGCGCGAGAAACTCACTTAGTAGTGCAGTGAAACTTTTGGGAGTAGTGTACCCAACCAAGTTGCCTAGATATTCCGGAAGGATATTCTTCACATTATCGTCACGAAGCATATATATATATATGTCGTACCTAATAGCCAGAACACACTACTGGGCCTACTATGCATGGCCCAATTTGCCTAATAGGCCAAGTGATTTACTTGATTTTAAATTTATTTTTTCCAAGTAGTTTATATGAATTATTATTATTTTTTTATATTAAGACCATAATTTATTGACTTATTTGTGTTAGTTTAGGTTAGGTTAGGTTCAGTCGTATATCTATATTAGTTTTAACCCAAATTTAAACAAATTAACTTATACATAATGAAATGGACAGATTTATCATTTCATAAGAAAAAAAATGGGGAAAAAATATATAAACTCACAAAAACTTGTCTTATTTGGCAAATCGGGCCTTGCATAGTAGGCCAAGTACGACGTTCTGGATACTAGGTACAACATATTATATATATATATATATATATGTCGTACCTAGTAGCCAGAACTCACTTATCAGCCTACTATTCAAGGCCGATTTGCCTAGTAAGCAAGTTTTCCTGAATTAATATATTTACTATAATTTTTTTCTTATGAAATGATAAAGCAACCCTTTTCTCTATGTATGAAGTCAATTTATTTTATGGAGTTAAAATTAACGTAGATATATGACCGAACCTAACCAACCTACCTAACCTAACCTAACCTATATTTATAGGTAAGGTTAGGTTAGGTAGCCAAAAAAAGCTAGGTTAGTTAGGTTAGGTAGGTTAGGTAGACGAAAAAACATTAATTCATGAAAACTTGGCTTATTAGGCAAATCGGGCCTTGAATAGTAGGCTGAGAAGTGCGTTCTGGCTATTAGGTACGACATATATATATATATATATATATATATATATATATATATATATATATATATATATATATATATATATATATATAATATATATATATATATATATATATATATATATATATATATATATATATATATGTCGTACCTAGTAGCCAGAACGCACTTCTCAGCCTAATATGCAAGACAAAATTTGCCTAATAAGCCAAGTTTTCCTGAATTAATATATTTTCTCTAATTTTTTCTTATGAAATGATAAAGCTACCCATTTCATTATGTATGAGGTCAATTTTTTTATTGGAGTTAAAATTAACGTAGATATATGACCGAACTAACCAACCCTACCTAACCTAACCTAACCTATCTTTATAGGTTAGGTTAGGTTAGGTAGCCGAAAAAGTTAGGTTAGGGTAGGTTAGGTAGGTTAGGTAGTCGAAAAACAATTAATTCATGAAAACTGGCTTACTAGGCAAATTTGGCCTTGCATAGTAGGCTGAGAAGTGAGTTCTGGCTACTAGGTACGACATATATATATATATATATATATATATATATATATGTCGTACCTAGTAGCCAGAACTCACTTTTCAGCCTACTATGCAAGGCCCGATTTGCCTAATAAGCCAAGTTTTCCTGAATTAATATATTTTCTCTATTTTTTTTCTTTTGAAGTGATGAAGCTACCCATTTCATTATGTATGATGTCAATTTTTTTTTATTGGTGTTAAAATGAACGTAGATAATGACCGAACCTAACCAACCCTACCTAACCTAACCTAACCTATCTTTATAGGTTAGGTTGGTTAGGTAGCCGAAAAAGTTAGGTTAGGTTAGGTTAGGTAGGTTAGGTATTCGAAAAACATTAATTCATGAAAACTTGGCTTATTAGGCAAATCGGGCCTTGCATAGTAGGCAGAGAAGTGCGTTCTGGCTACTAGGTACGACATATATATATATATATATATATATATATATATATATATATATATATATATATATATATATATATATATATATATATATATATGACAATGTCAGACCAAGGAGGAAAAATGAAACAGGAATTTCCTTAAGTACTTTCGTATATTAAATACATCTTCAGAAGGTCTATTTAATTTATTTCGTATTTAATATACGAAAGTACTTAAGGAAATTCCTGTTTCATTTTTCCTCCGTGGTCTGACATTGTCACATTTTTAATCACGTGTTTATTTTCGTGATATACACACACATATATATATATATATATATATATATATATATATATATATATATATATATATATATATATATATATATATATATATATATATATATATATATATATGTCGTACCTAGTAGCCAGAACTCACTTTTTGGCCTACTATTCAAGGCCCAATTTGCCTAATAAGCCAAGTTTTCCTGAATTAATATATTTTTTCTAATTTTTTTCTTATGAAATGATAAAGCTACCCATTTCATTATGTATGAGGTCAACTTTTTTTTATTGGAGTTAAAATTA